GGCCCGGAAACGCCAAAGAAGCACTTTTTTGACTTTTCAAACGCAGTACCACTCAGATGGTTTACAAAGCCATGTAATCGTGGAAAGCCCATCAAAATTTTTCCGAGCCACAGCCTTTAATTTTAAGGTACTGCTGATGTGAGAAGCACACTGTGACTTACCCTCTTCTCCCCAGTCCTTTCCCCATGAGTTGGCAATTAGCCAATATGGAGTTTCCTTTTCTTTTCCCCAGCCGATAAGCTTGACAGCGTGTCCTCCAGCAAGAAAGCCGGCAGTATGCTTAAATATGTACTCCCAAAAACTGATGCGCATCCACTTGCAGCGTTACCTTGTATACGCCCTTCTTATAGTGGAAGAAATCTGTGTACACCATAAAAGCCACCTCGATTGGTCCGTAAGTCATGAGTTCCTTACGTATCGCATCCTCATCGTTGTCGATCGCGTATGACATCAAGCCTACAAATACTTCCTGCGACTACAAGAAGCGAAACGTTCAAATCAGCACCATAGTGTTTGTCCTGTTGATATCCTTCAGTATAGTTTTTGTTGCACTTATGAACACACTTAGGAGTGTGAAATGGCGCGTGAGAGCACTCGGCTGGAGCTGTGTGGTTATCGCCTTTGTGACATGGCGGAAAAGGATAGGGCATGCAAGTATCCTGAATAAATTTTTGATTGCCATCATCTTGGCAAACCATTGAGTCACAAAACTTATTCCTGCTTCTTAATAACAGTAAGGCAAACTATCCGTCAACGTTTAGAGTGAAAATACCTCAGAGTAAATCTATCCTGTGACAGATAAAGCGTCTGACCAAAAGCAGGAAAATTTTGCGCGGTCATAAATCTATGAAAACTTAGCTACCTTAGATTTGCTTAGACATGACAAAGCTAAAATCAAAAACTGCTATTAATTACGCTGCTTCTATCCAACTCGGACGTTAAAAAGGGCTATTCGATAGTCTTGTCTTGATGGATTCTATAAGGTTGTCAAGAAAGTTCCTGGAAACTTTTGGAAATTTCATTTTCGACGCACTTATTTGGCGCTAGGTCGGATTTTGACAACAAATTTTAAAGCATACATTTTTCAAAATCGCTTC